GAGTTCTCTTCTCCCTTCTCTCCAACACGCACAACTTTTTCTTCTGGCAACGTGAAATGCCTTTCCTTGTTGTCATTAAGAGAGATCTAGCCAGTCTAGGAATGGTTGGCAAAGCCTGTCCTGTGGCTTTCACGAGTTCCTCTTTGACAGCCTGCCTAGAAGTCTTCTCTGTTCTTTCACCCTCAAATTTCACCTTTGAAGTTTTGGCAGGGATTGCCTTTTGATCCCCTAAGTTGATGCGTTGGGGTTTTTTTTAAATACTCACTTAGCCTGCATTTTTTGATACTAAGCATCTTCCACAGGTCTAATCTTCCTGTCTGTAATTTTTGTGGATTGTAAGGGGGATGCATTACTCATCCCTCTAAAATAACCTGTAGGGGAATGACCATCCTCAAGTCTACTTGCCTTAACGTCCTTTTCTCTTTGCAAAATACTTTGTTGCTTTACTTCATTTATCCATCTTTGGCTCACTGACCACAGAATAATTGTTTTCTTTTTCTGTGAGTATGTGACTTAAGATAAAGTTGTTGCACATTGGTGCCACGTTTTTCAGCTAAGTCGGCCTTCCTTGTGCATCTATGGTAAATGTGTAATCTGCTTACGAGCTGTTAAGAAATTCTGCTATGAGGGTGTTCCTTTGAGTTGTGTTAGTCTGCCATGAGGACCTATGATTACTTTTGTGTGCTAATAGTCCCTGAATGGGGGGTTTTGAGCTTCTCTGTGGATTTTCTGTGATTAGAGATGGAAATAGTCTTAAAAACTGCGTGGAAGCTTAAAATTGAGATATTTACGTAATGCTATTCTGCACACGGCGCAGCAGATCAGTGTGCTCTACAGCAATCTCTTCATTTGTGTAAACCCTGAGTTTCTAACTGCAGTACGGAAGGACTTGTAGTATTGGTAAGAAGGAAAAAATTGGGGAAGCATGCAGTTACAGAAAACATGAAATTGTAGTAGCCATTGCCCCTTAATCTCTGTCTCTCCCTGCTTCCGTCCTTCATTTCTCACGGATTTTGTTAGAGAACTGGAGGACAAAACAACTTTCCTAATGTACTGTAAGAGGCTCCTTTTCTTCTCCATCCTGCCGGGGAGGGCAGTGAGCGGAGGGGCTGCATGGGGCTTCTACTGGCTGGGTTTAAACCACAACAAATGGTTAGTTACAACAAAACATGTGTCGTGTCATAAATAATAATACAGAAGTAACATGTTTCTTCTATCTTCTGGCTTAATTATACTATTCACTGGTTTATTCTGCCTCACACTTCAGTGTAAATATAGCTTTCTGTAATCAAATGAGTACTTTCCTGTGTAAACACAGAGGGAAGGTATTGAGAAATTAGATTCTAAACTACCACAATGCTCAAAAAGAAGCAAAATGCATTTTTGTAACGATGAGGACTCTTGTGATTCTTTTGCGAGACAGTTTTGGTTATATCGGAGAGCACAAAGTGGCCTTTGCAGAGCCAGGATCTGGCCTGGCTGCACGCCGAATTGCCTGTTGCTTGTACACCGGCCTGCCAATCTAAGAGTGTAAGCACAAGAACATGACGTGGAAATGATGTGTGTGGGTGATGAGGTAGCAATTTTTTTTTCCCCTGATGTGTTCTGTAATGTAATAGTAGATTTTTCACAATTTTTTCTGCGTAAAAAAACCCCCCAGGAACACACAGAATTGCTCTTCATGCTGCTTGAGAGAAAGGACTCAACACCCATCAGTCCTTTATACTTTAAAATTGCCAGTGGGAATGCCCTGACAAGGGAAGTCAAGACCACACAGTCTGGGGGCGGTTAGTGCCCTTGTGACAAAAAATGGCAGCCAGCCTTCGTTCTGTTTTCTTATGGCAGCCAGCAGGGAAGGAGAGAGGTGTTGCTTTCTGCTTTCCCTTTCTCCTGCAGGCAAGGAGGCAAACTCTCTACAGTACTGGAGGGGAAGGATGAAGTGTTAGTAAAGATTACGTGACTCCTCCTGGCTTCAGTCCTTCTTCAGACAGTTCTTCACAAAGATAGCGCAAGTGAATTTTCAGTTCCACAACTGCCATGGGCCTCACTAGGAGCTAAAACGTCACTGACCTTGAACAGACATCAGTTATGAGTTATTGCTGCTCAGTTGTGTAGCTGCTGTTGTTAAACACTAAAAAATCAGAAAATAGCCTATTTTTCTCTGCACAGTAATCTGAAAGCCATTTGGGCCAACCTAAACTGAGCTGTGATTGCAAAGGAACAAGCTGGTGCTGCTGGGACATTCCTGGCGATGCCAGTGCCGGGGGGGGGGATGCCTGTGCTGACAAGATGGCTGGTGCTTACACAACAGCTCTGTCACAGTGCAGGAAAGGGACTGTACGGAAACCCAGAGCCACTTCTGCAGTAAAAACTACTTTTTGTGCCATGGATTTAACCCAGGACTCTTTGAGGTCAGGAGAAGGGTTTACTTAGGGCTTAGAGTAGGGTCTCCATCACAGAGCTGTGTGTCTTCGATGGCGTCTCGATTACAGTAAATGTATGACAGAGAGTGGCGGGGCTGGAATGTCTTGTTTTGGGCTCCTCTGGGTGAAGGTCTGGGAAACAAGGTACCACCGTGCTCGCAGGGCCGCAGGGGCATGGAGCTGCTGCTCTCAGGGTTGCAGTTTCTCAGCTGCAGCCAGCCCTCCTCCAGCCAGCCCGTGAGGGGAATGGTAATGACAATGGGCCCTGCCTAAAAAATAAAACGATCGGCCTTTAAAAAGGGGGAGGGAAGGTGTTGGGAAAGTATGTCGTAGAAGGGGCTGAGCTGCTTTGGTCTTTCATTTCTGCAGTCCTTTGCATAGAAGGAATTGGTCCGAAGCAGCGGGGTCTGTGGCTCTGCTCTCTTCACTGTCCATGCCAGAGCCCTGCAAGGCATCCCCTGCTTACAGACCGTGACGATGGACCTCTCTGCCATGGGACTAATTGGTTGCAAGCGTCTGTTATTGCCACGCTGTTCCTCTATATATGTGATAAGATGACCCCTGAGAAAAATATAGGAAGGAGAGAGAGAAAAAAAAACACAACATAAATAAAAGCTATTGATCTTAATTTCTATTTATTTTCATATGCTTAGTAAAAAGCACACTTATACTGAAAATCACTATAAATGTAATCAGATGTTCCCTGTAGCAGGTTGAAGTAAAAAGGTGTATTGATGTTATGCTTAGAGAGAATTTGGAGCATTTGACAGTTGTTTTCTTAATGACTTTTCTGATTACCTTTTAATTACTCTTATAATTTTATTTTACCCCATTACTGTATTTTTGTACTTCCTAAGATTAGGAATAAAGCACTATGTTAATCTCCCTTTTAAATTTTTAAGCTAGTGTTTATCTCTGAATATAAAACCTGATAACCAGAGATAAAAATTTCACTGCAAAAAACTTCCTTTAATTATCTTAGCAAGTAGGAATAGTCTCAAATATGAGTACAGCGTGTCATGTCATAGGAGTGACAGCTGAGGAGAACTGTCACCAGCACTTCTCATATACTGCATCTCCTTGCTGGTACCCGTGAGCTGGATGGTGACTCCGTTGCCTGATGAGCTTCTTCAAAGGGTTGACAGAAATACGCGACTTTTTCAGATAAAGGCTGGCCAGTGGCCATGCCTTACTCAGAAAACGCCAGGAGTGGATGTAGCTCTCTAGGCAGGCAGGAAGTGAAGTGACCCAGAAAACTGTGTCAGCTTTCAGAGACCCATTGCTTCAGGTATTTTTACTGAACGAGCACTGCTTTCTGGACGCTTAAAAGCATCAATTAAAGGCTAAGGTTCTGACTCCTGGATTCAATTTAAATACAGAATATAATTGCATGCAGGGTGCTTCATATAGGTTTTGGGTGGTTTTTTGATACATGTGCTCTGAAGATCATTAGGCAGATGTGATCCTGAGAGTATAATATGAGAACCAGATAGGAAATACTTTCAGTTCATATAATTCTTAATGAAAGATTTAAAAAGAAAGAAACTACAAGCTTTTAAAAATAAAACACATTTGCATGTGTCTACTTTTCTGACAAATGGAAAACATTCTATGGGTTATGACTATATATGACTTTATATAATGTTTTAAATTTTTTTAAGTCTTATAATTTCAATTTACATGAAGATTACATGTAATTTCTGTGTAAATAAGTTGTATTGGGAGCAGCCCTGAGGAGAAGGACTTGAGAGAGAAGGACTGGGGGCCCCAGTACAGGAGAGACATGGAGCTGCTGGAGCAAGTCCAGAGGAGGGCCACGAAGCTGATCGGAGGGCTGGAGCACCTCTCCTATGAGGACAGGCTGAGAGAGTTGGGGTTGTTCAGCCTGGAGAAGAGAAGGCTCCAGGGCGACCCTACTAGCAGCCTTCCAGTACCTAAAGGCGCCTACAGGAGAGCTCGAGAGGGACTGTTTATGAGGGAGTGTAGTGACAGGACAAGGGGTAATGGGTTTAAGCTGAAGGAGGGCAGATTTAGATTAGGTATTAGGAAGATTAGATACTAGGAAGAAATTCTTTACTGTTAGAATGGTGAGGTTCTGGAACAGGTTGCCCAGAGAGGTTGTGGATGCCCCCTCCCTGGAAGTGTTGAAGGCCAGGTTGGATGGGGCTTTGGGCAACCTGGTCTAGTGGAGGGTGTCCCTGCCCATGGTAGGGGAGTTGGAACTAGATGATCTTTGAGGTCCCTTCCAACCCAAACCATTCTATGACTTACAACTACTGCAGTTTAAAAAACCTGATTGTTTGTCTTTTGCAATTTTGAGAATATAGTTTATGCTATACGTTTGCCTAATGCAGAGTTCCCGTAACCGCAAAATTGTCTTTTTGCCAAATGGTATACGTACATATTTCATGAAGTGGTCTACAGCTTTGCAGAAACTAGGGCAAGCTCTGTAAATAATGAATGTCAGGTAATTATTCAAATTCTTTTTTTATGCCACAAAATAACAAATTTGTTCTGTAGTGGATGTTTTTCTGTGAAATCTCTAATAACGTTGCTTATCTGCCGTTTTACCCACAGGTACATTTATGTTCCCATGGGAGGATCTCAGTCCAGTCTGCTGGGAACACTCTTTTCCACAGCCCTCACTTTTGCCTTTGTAAGCTATTGGCACGGAGGACAGAGTTATCTGTGGTACTGGGGCGCACTTAACTGGCTTGGAGTAATTGTGGAAAACGGCGTCAAGAGGATACTTTCTATTTCACTTATTCAAGATTTAATTGTAAGTTGAATCTCTCTTCATTTTGTGTTCTTGTTTCCTGGCTCCATGCTCATCTGAAGATCCTGGTTACTAGTTTGGTTTAATGTAGATTAAAAGGCATGGATAACAGAGTTAGCATACCCTTGCCCACCCTCCACTATTTGAGGTAAACAATATAACTAGAATTTTGCAAAATATCAGCAAAGCAGACACAGAAATATGCATGGTTTTAAAAGCTTCCTCTGCAGTCCTAATGTAAGGAACTGCTTGTCGCATTGTATATAGCTGAACAGAAGCCAGTTTTAACATTTGCATTCTGATTTCGCTCAGGATGGCCTTAAAATATTCATCTTCACTAAAATTAGGAGTGTATATTTCTAACCATGTGTTTCCTGGATGAATGTGTGTGTAGCAGCTGCTTGCATCTGGGAACAAGCTTACGCTGGGAAATCTTATGCCACTAAAGAGCAGAGTAAAGAAAATACTATTTTGCTTTGAAGACCTCCGATATTTTCACTTATACTTTTGACCTTCATGCTGTCATTTCCAAATGACAAAATATTCTTTCGCATGCAATCATATGTAAAAAGTGCTATTTTAATTTTGATGGTCAATTTAGTCTGCAGGTTTGCTCACTATTAAATCCCAGATATTCTAATAACTGTTTGTAAGAATAAATAATTCCTATGTCTTGCTTCCTTAGTGAAAAGTGCACAGAATTCGCACTTCTATATAACATTGTGGTGGTGGTGACTGACTCTGCAGCTGATTAAGTCCTGATGCTCAAGTAATTATGCTTGTTGTCCATCCCACCCATCTCAGTTTTCACTGTTGTTGCATCCCATGTGTGGCAACTGATACAGCTAAGTAATTTAGTAGCCAATAACAGCCAGTGCTGCCTTATATCATCCAGCTGTCCATCACTGCGGATTCAGTGACAGTCTGGAAACAGCTTTTTTCCTTCATAGAGAATGAGTTTATCAGATCCATTAATCCTCCCTCTAGGGTGAAACTGAGCTTCACCATCTGACCGGCTGCATACGTTTGTCTCTGGACTGGAAGACAACATAGTTTTTTTAGGCATTCAGTTATATGAGGAAATAGAAGTGTAGGGGCTTTTTGTGTTTGATGTCACTGTATTAGAAACTTTAAAAGAACTCTTAAGGAATTAAGTTCTTAAATACCATAGAAATTACAAGGATGTGGCATTATGAAGGTGGGGTTATATGCATTGTATTAATTTCTAACACGTAATTCTGATTATAGTTAACCAATGCTGGCCGTAGGGGTTTTTTTGTATAAATTAACTCCGTAATAATGAACCAAGTGCATGTTACCCCTTTCCTCTCCTTCGTTTTCATCCAGAGTTTTTAAAGCCTTATCCAATGTCTTCCATGTCTCGCTTGTTTTCCATTTCTGTTTGGAAACATGGCTGTAGACCTTCCTTAGAAGACACTTCCACATCTTTCCCTGAAATATTTCTGAAGCCAGCATTTTTAATACAAATAGTTTTGTTATCTGAATTAGTGCGTTAGGCAGATCTTGTTGCATGTGGTTATTATCATGCTTTGCCTTGTGCCTTGAAGGTTTCTCTACAACATGAGCTACATACAGTCTTTGCAAACTGCCTCTCCTCATTTTTCTAACAAACTCCCATTTTCTTCTTGAATGCTGAGACTGGGGAGCAGATGAGTAGCTGGACTTTGACCCTTCCTTATCAAGGGGTGGCATCATGTGACATTCTCTAAGTATCACCACCTACATTTAAAATGAACTGCAAATTCCCTAATGCCCTGTATAAATCTCCTTTTTTCCCTTGTAATCTGGCTTTTGGAAGCGCTCCCATCATCCTGTCTCGGCAAGAGGTGTGCTGCAAGCTTAGTTATCGTGGTGTTGAGAACCCCGTTCTGGGGGATAGGTTTTTCACTTAACTTTCATCTGTTGACAAGCTGAAAACCTTTGCATTCTTGTGCTTCACTCACTTGCTGTGTTGGTTCTTGAAGGTTATTTTTGAGAAGGAGAGTTTATTTTTGTCCCAAGAATAAGAGATGAGTTTCTGAAAAAATACAAAGCACAGGTTTATGCTTTTTTTTAACCCATTCTATTTATCAAACCTCCTCATATGTTGTTGTTAAAGTTGATTTAGATAATTCAGTTGAACAGGAGGTGTTTAATTAGGAAATATATTAAAAAAAATCTTGAATAATAAGTTGAATTTTAATTCTGCTCTGTTTTTAAAATTGAATTGATCACAAAGAATGGCAAGAATTATATCAAAACTGCTTTCCTCTTTTCCCCACTATATTGTCTTAATTCTCTTGCGAAAGAAAGATTTAGAAATCTAAATGAAGCACATTTGAGTCTCGTCCTTCACTGAATCCTTGTGCTGACTAAGAATATATATAAAAAGAATTGTACTCTATATTTATGCAGATTTTATGGTAGTTTAAATCTCAGCACGTGAAACCAGTGCAGTATGGGTAAATAACACTTTTGTAGCAGTCTGACAGCTTTTAAATGTCATCTCAGGCATACTGAACTAGAATGAGCAAAGAAGCATGGGCATTATTTGTGAGAAGCAAAATCAGCATATAAAAAAAACAGTGCATTTCCTGACCCAAAAAATCAAAACTTTTCATTTGTACTGGTTGCAAACCGGTGCCTGGCTTCCTGTTTTCAGCTCTAAAAGAGCTGATGCACCTTCTTATGTACTTTTCTGGTTGCATTGCTCAGAAATTTCCTGTTTCAGGGAGTTGTATTGTGAGAAATTATCTACGTATCTTTTTTTCCCTTAGAGAGTACTTGTTAGATACCAGTAAATTGGAGCTGAATTAAGTAATTTTGTCTTTTCATCAAAACATTGTATATAAACCAACAATAAATGCTATGCATCATATGCTAGGGCGTATCTGGGAACTTTATATTAAATGGGAGAAGTTTCATTGTGTTTTTATCAGGGATTTTGTTTGTTTGTTGGGGGTTTTTTTAGTTTTTCAGGGGATATTTAGACCTGTACTGAGCAAAGTAGTGCTTTGTTTCACTGATTCTATATTAATTTCTTACAGATAAACAGAGACTCCAGTAGTAACTTGTTTGAAATCAATGACAGAGTTTGCATTGACTTTTAATAAATAATGTGTCAGATTTCTGCATGAAAATTCTAATGGCTCTCATTCTTCCAGTGATTTAATTTTTTTTCATCCTCCTTTTCCTTAAGGAAAACAAGATATAGATCTATACAAGAAATTAGATTTTGGTATAAAAATAGATTTTGAATTATTGAAACCTTAGAATAGCTGACAACATCTTTAAATCAATGGATTTTTAAAAAAGAAATATTAGGAAATAATCCAAAAGAAGATGTAGCAAATGGGGTGAAGTTGGCAGATTGTTAAAATTAATGTTTTAATCTCAATTGAAACAGCAACATTTATCATCTTAGTTCTTTCGTAAAGTGAAAACACGTCATTCAGTCTAGTAAGAATTTTTTAAATTGAAACATAAAGGTCTCTATTCTAAAAATCATGCTACAATGAATTTCTAGTTTAAGATCATACTGCGAGCTTTATTTAGTAAGAAACTAAATACACCATAAACAATTCAATTTGAGAAACCAACTAATTTTAAGCATGGCTTATTTTAAAGTAATTTGTACTATCCTTGTAAGTGTTTGGGGTTTTTAAAGTATAAAATCTTTGATTTCTTCATTTTCATTTATGGCTGTAATGAGGTGTACTAATTAAGTCTGTTTCAGTATACTGTAATTGCCTTTCCAACCCCCCTTTGCAGGAGAGGAAATATTTTGTACGATGTCCATGGTTTTGGTTAGGGTGTTAGATTTCATTCCACACACACACCCCCCCTCCAAGAAGGAAAGCCATACATTTGTCTCTGTAGTTAAAATATCACCTTTTTTTTGGGTACCAGAGATGTGGTCAATGACAACTGGCATCCTCAGCTTCGTAGAGAACAGAATTTTGTATGTCTTTCAAAAAGTTGGGTGTGGTGAGGTGGTTTTGCCCATTTTTTTTTTTCTCTGTTTAGTTTTGTTTGCCCCGTTTCTTCTGCTTGGTGCATTAAATTTCTCCAGTTATTTGTAAATTCTGCATTATGCAATGATCCTGCAGACAGCTGGTGTGGAGCATGGAAAGGTACTGACTGGTGAGCCTGACCTCTGGGCTGTGGTTTAACATGGAATTAAGCTGACCTAACAGCTCACTGCTGTTGAAGGGGAGAAGGTTTAATTTCCCTTTCCTCCCTTCCTTGCAGTCTCACCACTTCTCCTCTGCATGCCTGATTCCTGCTCGACTCTTTGAC